AGGTATCATCATGAGGTGCGAGATACTGTAGGTGCTCAGAATATGACAGAGGAGCAGCACTTGACTCTGGAACACATGTACCAGCACTTGCGAGCAAATAACTAAAGCTTCCTTAACATTTATTCATTTCCTCTTATGGGCAAACCTCTACTTGATAAATTATTTTTTCCTCTGCCTTTAGTAAAACAGTATTTAAAAAGAAAAAAAGTTAGACTTGAACTGTCTCTGATATGCCTGCTAGGATCCAGCAGTGTATGATCATTATAATAAAAAAATACATTGCTTCCGTAATTTTAGGCTTTCTGCAGCCTAAGACAGACAAAAATTTGTTGCTAGATCTGTTCCGTGGAAGACTGACATTTTGAGTAAAGTTATTTCCTTTCAGAACAAGGATCTTTTTTTCCAGAAGTTTCATTTTTGAAGGAAATAAATTTTAAAAGTGTTTTGAAATTCTTAAAAGTAACTGAATTTAGGAGTCCAAATTGCAAGGTTCCTGGCTCAGCCATAATGACCAGCTCTTGGATCTAGCAGACTGATAAAACTGGCAAGATTTTGTAGTTGTGACTGGATGGAAAGAAGAATAGCTTGGGAAGATTCTAAGTTGCGATGCTATAAAGCCAAGAACGAATCCTGTGAATCCTTGGTAGAGCTCAGACCATGGGAGGTAATGAATTCACAACTGCACAGCAGGGCTAGTGAATGTTAGGAATTCTCTCAGTGCTTTCCTGCTCTAAATTCTGCAGTGAATCTTCTAGGGCTTCCAGGAAGCATGAAAATTCTCAGGCCTCGTGGCCCGTCACCTAAATGTTGGGACAGAAAGGGGAGCTGTTTTGTGCTGTGGATTTTTGAAGAGGTGATGTACACAACTCAAATTTTGTCTTTTTGGCAGGACTAATGTAGGAGCTGGGGCTTGTATCCAAAGGGATTCCTGCCCCCAATGTAGGAGCGTGAGGGACCAAACGAGTAACTGTTTTTTCAGTCAACATGCATGGCAGGGATGTTCAATCACTGCAGCCCATTATTGATCGCACTTTCATTACTATGTCTGTCTTGCAAAAACGCTAATTTTGGTGGAGATGCACTTGTTCTATTTTTGAATCAATTTACATGAAAATAGGTTGTGAAATAGAAATTTCAAATGTTACCAGCATGCTTCCAAGACTAACAGGTTAGAGACATCCCATTGAAACAAATACATAAAACTTGATTTATTTTTCTGTAGAAGTTTAAATGCCAGGCTGCATAGCTTGCTTGAGAAACTGTCTAGGCTCTCAAATCCTTGCTGCGGTGCTGTTTTTCAATCAGGTAATCAGATGAGCTTCAAGGCTACTTGAACTCTATGAAGTGCTTAAAAATGAATAATATTTGTGAAATCAATTGTGGTACAATAACTGTGACAGGTCTCATTTGAATATCTTTGAAGCCAATAGGATTTGCATATCAATTTATAGTCTCAAACTAATGTGGGCAATGATTTTAGAACTCAAAACATACTGCGTGAGAACACTTCATTTAATTGTCTTCTGTATGTTGGGGATACTATAAAAAATTTGAATCTATACTGAAATGTATCAGTATCAAATTAAGCAAATACGATGTATGTATCGATACACCACTGTTCCATATTTGGTAGTTTTTGCCTTTGAGGATGCAAGGTTTTGCACTTTCACAAGTTTTTTTGTTTTGTTTTCTGTTTTTTTAAGGAGAGTTTTTTTAGTAGCATATCAGAGGAGTCAAAATTTTCATTCTCAATATACAGTTCCTAGAATATCTGTCTTATCCCCTAATTTTTTTCCTTGAAACTTACCAATCATGTCACCGAATATTCTATCTCTGAGCAAAAGAGTAGCTATTAAATTTGAACGGTAATCCTGTCCTTACAATCCACTTAATCCCTACCATAAATAGAGCTAGAGGCACTCCCTAGGCCTGTAATTACCTCAGGGGTGTGAAACAGTCTCAGATCAATATAAAAATGTTTTAATCTTCTAAGTAATAGTCCCACACACTATAATTTTGTATTGTAGATGGTCTTATCCTGAGGCATTACTTTCTCCCAGGGGGCATTGGAGGTGACAGCACTGAAGGGGATTGGGAGCCCCAGCTAGGGCAGCTCTCCTCCAAGCACAGCTGCACTGCTCTCAGCAGCAGAATTGCTCAGGTTCTTCTTGTCCAAGTGGTGCAGGTGACTTTCTTCTGGAGCTACATACCTCTCTGCAAATAAAGTGTTGCTGCATTGTCTGCAGCACCCAAAAGACAATATCTCTTTTCTGCTCAGTATGGCTCCTTAAGAGGTATTTGTTAATAGTGTGTTAAGTCATATTTTCTGCAGATGCTCCTTTTTAACATACTTTGTTATGAGTCACTTCCCTCAGTATTTTACATCTTGACTGTAGCTTTCTGTTTGTAGGTGAATTCCCTCAAGGCATTAACAGTTTCTAAAGACCTTTTTCACACTAACACCACTCATACATTTTACGGAAATACATTTTTCTTTGTATTTCTATTTGAAAAGAGTTCCATGCTAAAATACAGAACAACCAAGAACACTAAAAAGCATTCATTCTGATGAATGCTTCTCTAAATTGAAAACCAAGATTATACAAGATATTATATTCTCTGCTTTCTGTTGTCTAGTGATGTTCTTTTAGATGCAAATTTAAAAGACCTCCAAGGGCTCCTCAGTTGTTAGCCCTTTACCTGTTTTGCTGCCATTATTAACTCTTGCATGCTGGCAGCTCTTGCTTGAGAAGTTATCACGAACATTCACTGTCATTGTTAGGAGACAGCTTTAAACTGACTGGAATATTTATCAAATGGTGTGTTGGCACTCTCAGCTGAACTATAAATCATCCTAACTGACTCATCCTTTGTCACCCTCTGAAGCCTGACCCTTATTTTATTAATCCACAGGAGAAAATATATTAGAGAGGAGTGGATAAAAAGAATAATAAATTAGCTGTTTAGTGTTTAATAGACATAGCTGTCTGCAGAGAACAGGGTAAATTTGAATAGTAAAATATCAGAGAAGTTTTGTATATGGAAGCTAAGAAAATAATTCTTTGAAATTATAATGTGTGGTATCATAAATTATATTCCTCAATCTACATGATTATGTAAAGTAATGCAGGTTGTCCCCACCCAGTAATTGATCTGCTCATATTCCCAAGTATAAAAATTGTTTTTCTGCTGTTAGTTGTTCCATTGCACATAAGAAGACAGATTTACATTCTTTCCCTGACTCTCTATTCCTGGTTAAAATATGGTCACTCGTAAGTATTGTACTGTTTGTCACACATACAGAAAAACAAAAACCTAGGAAAGCTTGCTAGCAGCAATCTCTGATCCCAGAGAGTTAATGAGAATAATAGAGTTAAAAAATGTAACAACCTTTGTTGTTGTGTCGTTTTTTAAGACACCTGTCCTGACATACATCCTCAATTCCTAAAGCACAAAGGAATTTCTGTGAAACTGCTGGGTAGCTGTAATTAAAAGTCTTAACAAAAATTCCAAGGGCTCCTGGACTAACAACAGAAAATACATCTACAAACAAACCATCTGTTGACTTGCTATATTCAGAGTCATTCCATGGGGGATGAGGGGGGGTGGGGTGTGTGTGGAAATGGACACTGAAATGCAAGGAATTTTGGTTTTGTCTTCCTAATGCACAGAGTATCCTCCGGTGAAATACTTTCTAAACCCAACTGTATGGCAACATTAAGGTAGAAAACAGATGTTTGTGTCAGTGTATGCATGTGTATGACCAAAGAACTCAATCTGTTATGAATATATGTACAAGAAGATTTTACTAGCTGCAGAATTGTAACTGCATTACTGGAATACAAAAAAAAGAAAAGCCAGAAATATTTTTCAGGATTGTTCTCGTAAGTGAGATTGTGACAAGTTGTGAAGTATAAAACAATTATTCTGAATTAAGACTATTCTCACTGCTGTGCTTTTGCATGATTGTAAGTGCAGGATCTTTTGGTTAAGAAGGCGCTGCCTGTAAATGACTGCAACTGCGAAGGCTCGCTGTTGCCCAGCAGACATGAGGTGAGCAGGTGTGTCGCTTAGGTCATTGACTAGGGAATGGGAGAGGGATGAACAGGTAAGCCTGCCTGCTGGTAGACAGGAGAAATGGGAGTGTGAATACAGGCTGGATATTTAAACTCGTTCCATTCAATTAAGTTAGCTGGTTCCTTTCAATTAAGTTAGAAACACATACAATCTGTTAGAACATCCCTGGTGAGAGCATAATATCATGAAGTGCTGTAATTTGATCATTTGTGGTCATCTGAACATCCCTCAGTTTATCCCTCAGGCAACTTCTTTGACTTCCCTGAAACTACTTCAGGGAGGAATTAAGCCCTGTGCTCAGAGAAAGAACGAACGCCTTATACGTAGGTTTGCTCAAACTGTATTGATACCAGAGCATCTTTAATGTTGAAAAACAGAATTCTAAATTTTTCATCCAAGTTATATTGGCAGCTATTTACTTATCTTTTTTTTGTATAGATGTTGGACCAGAATAGTGCTGTCAACACTAGACTTTATCTGTAGTGTCCCATACCACAGACTTTTCTGTCCACAATTGGTAGTGGGGAACCTGCTTCTTTTGGTGCTTAAATAGTCCTGTCTCGTACTGGTTTCTGAAAAAGCTGTGTCTCTGTAAGCTCCTGCCCCTACATAGAGGGAATCAACACTCCACTGCATTTTTTTTTGCCACATCTCATCCTTTCCCCATGAAGAACAGATGCACCTACAGTGCCCGGGGTGGGTGGCTCTCATCTCCTGTTTTTTTTCCGATCTGCCTCCTATGTGTGAGACTTGGCCAGCAGTCATCCCTGTGAGAGATTTTGAATCATGGAGACTTTTGTAAAAGGTATATCCCTCTTATTTTTTGTGTAGAAGGAGAAAACGTATGTGTTAAAATACCACACATATGTTAAAATACCTCACATGTGTATATATCTAATGATACTTCTCACGAAGAATCTCAGAATCCCAGGAACAACCTGCAAAAAAGGCTTGGGACCAAAGGGCACTAGTAACATCCCCCCATCGGGCTGAAGGAAGGGACGCAAAGGAAAACAGCAAGTGGAAGCGAGTCCGCAATCGGGGCAGGAGGCGAACCCTTCCCTTGCCCATCACATCTCCACAGGTGCCTCTGCATAATAGGTATGAGGCTCTAGATGTGGAGGACAAGGCAATGGATGGTGCAGGGGTTGACCCATCCACATCGGAGGAGGCACAAAGATCAGAAGGACCTCCCTCTCGTATCACTACCAGCTACACAAGGAGGAAGAGACGAGTCATAGTTGTAGGAGACTCCCAGCTGAGGGGAACAGAGGGTCCGATATGCCGGGTAGGAGTAACTTAGATAATGTATTTTAAACTGTCCAGGTACAGCTGATCCTTCCTTGAGTCACAGTGACATCTTGATCTCTGCTGAACACATCTGTTGTCATTCTGCCACCCTTTCTGTCCTGGCTAACCTGCTTGAAACGCTGACCATGCTCACTTTCACACAGACTGGACTACTTCTGCCTACCTTTTTCACCTTAGCAGGGGCAAAGTAGCTTTTACTCTTGGTATGAAAGAGTCTTGAAATGTTTGCACAGAGGCTGCAGCCACTGCTTAAAATTTAAATAGACTTACTAATTCCTCCTGAAATATATCTAATATCAGATACAGATGGCTAGAAGATCCACCAAGTACTGCTGAAATATGTGAATTGGATAATTTTCACATGTCATACAATAGAACAGAATGTCAACGCACTGTATGAAATTAAAATTACATAGTTGACTGAGTCATATAACTTCTCATTTAACTTGAGCCCTGTAATAGATGGTTTTGGTACGCCGTACAATATTTCCTGGTATAGCTTTATTTGGGTGGTTGTTTGTCATGAATTTGGATACCAGTAGAAATCTCAGTGGGACCATCCTAGAAATTGTAGTTTGGGGCTCTTTTTGAAGAGGTGATACAAAATGAGGTCATGGTGAGATCTGCATTAGTGATGTAAGCTAGCTTCACATACTGCCAAAAAGCAATTGGGGTGATTATCTTTTGTTGTTAATGACCTGCAGTTGACTTAGTGGCTACAACTCAAAAGCTCTGAATTCCATTACCCAGCTCATCTCTGTGAAATCAATGAATGTTTCCCTGATGATACATAAAGAGCTCAACCCTTTTAATAAGTGTCAGGAAGGGGACTTTATTTTCCCCGTGTGCCTCTTTATCATTCATTTAAATGGGCGGAAAAATATAGTCCTCCTGGACATTTCCAGGTTTTCAAAACCTCATTAATATAAAATGCAAGGCACAGACCTCTCTCCTCAGGCAAAACCCCCAGCTTGTATCTCTCTCCCCATTGCATGTGTAATGGCTGTCATTGAAGATGGGACTTGCACGCTATTCTGAAAATATTCCCATTGAGATTTAATATTGGAGGAGCTATATGGATTGATGTTGTAGTCCCTACAAAAACACCATTTACGCCTATTTAGGAGGACTGGATATGTTAGGCTTAGATGCACATTTAGTTTTGCGACTGAATGTGACAAGAAAGAAATACTGAGAACACAGCCTGATCCACATCTTGCAGGCTTGTGAATCCGAGCAGAAATATGCTTTGACTTTTGTGGTACCCCCTTCTGTCTCAGGTGGGGAGAGATTCAACTGTTTAACCTGGAAAGACTGAAAGGCTGCTAGCAGACGGCTCTGTAAGGAGTCAGATATCAGTGATACTTTTTTTCAGGGTTCTATGATACTCTCTTCCAAAAACTTAACTGCTGGGGAGTTGGGGGTAGTGGTGGTGCTAAATACAAGTTCTTGAGGCAGTGGTGACACAGTGCATGCCTCTTCTTGCACTATTCTTCCTCTATTATCTAAACACCACAAAGATGTCATGTTTTATTTGCTAAAGAATGGCTTCATTTAGTGATAAATCTGTTAATACCTTGCCTCACTTTGGCAACTTCCTCTGTAGGGCATTAAAAAGGTACTATCTTTTACCACACCTTGCCATAGTTTGATTTAAACAAAAATAAAAAAAATGGTAATGGGTAGTTGTGGTCTGTTTCAAGGCATTTTGGTTACTTTCCTGATTAGGAGCTTGATTATGTTGGCTGATTGTTTGGTCCACTTAACAGCAGGTGTTACAAACCACAAATGGCTCAAACTGTCATGAACATCACCAACTTACCTGCCCGAAGCAGTAACAAAAGTCCTTACTAGCAGTTGATCCCTTTCCTAAAAGGATGGCTCGCATTATTATGTCATTCTCGCCATCCAAAATATTAAAGGGTATGTGTTACTCTTTGTGGGACATAGCTCAGGTTGAAGTCTTTAATGATGCAAGCGAAACATGAGACACTACTTGTCTGAAGTTGGATCTCCTTGGGTCTAGCCAACGCATGTGACAATCTGCTACATCCATTAGGTTGGGAAACTGCTCCATCCTTAGTGTAATACAAACCTTGGTTCTACAGAACAGTAAAGCAGGCCTAGGCTAATGTCCAAGCTGACTTGTTCCTTAAAACAGTATTTACTAATTTACAAGATTTTCTTCTCCAGCTCTTGTTCACTCCAGAATACCTTAAAGCGCTTTCTACAAATGAGTGCGGATTGTCACTGATCTTCTCACGGGAGGTAGTTCAGTTGTGAGTTCTAGGGTGTGCATTGTACTAGCCAAGAGTTTCATTTAGCTTATTGTATCAGCTTGGGAAGGATACCAGAGCCTTGGGCCTGTGCAAGTAGCTTAAAGCCACCTCAGCACCATCTAAACAGGTTTCCAGTATATATAAACATTCCCTAAACTGGAATTATGAACAAAGCCAGGAAGGAACCAAGGTTCCTATCAAGATGAGGCCACTTTCTGCTTTGAGCAATGTCTGTCATTCTGCTAGCAGTACCTGTTCTCATGCATATATATATTTTCGTAACTCTCGTAAATCTGGATGAACAAATCTCCTGAAGAGAAATTTGCAGGGTGAGTAGCCTAGAAAGGCTTTCCATGAAAAGTTTGTTACCTCCATGAAAATCTGCTTAAGAGATTTCATTGAAATCTTCCTGCTTAATCTAGCTGAGTTCTTAAAGCAAAATGGCAAGATTGTGCTTCTGGGCTAAGCTTAATTTTTGTATCTGCAGTGCATTGTGAAATGTTTGCAAGCGAGAGCTCTCCTGAATACAGGTAAAGCTACAAACTCTGCGCTCAGCCCGACATAGTTAAAAGGTTATCAATTTCTTGTGCAAGTTTAAGCTCATGCTCATGTGGACTGAGATCATTATGATTATTAAATTTGCATTGTAATGTTAAAGTCCAGTTAGAGCCACAGACTAAGAGCCTACTGTGCACAATGAATCATAGAATGCTTTGGGTTGGAAAGGACCTTTAAAGGCTGTCTAGTCCAACCTCTCTCCAATGAGCAGGGACATCTTCAACTAGATCAGGTTGCTCAGAGCTGCATCCAACCTGGCCTTGAATGTTTCCAGGGATGGGGCATTGAGTGCCTCTCTGGGCAATGTGGGCCAGTGCCTCACCACCCTCATAGTGAAGAATTTACTTCTACCTAGTCTAAATCTACCTTCTTTTAGCTTAAAACCATCATCCCTTGTCCTACTGCAACAGGCCCTGACAAAGATGAAATGATCCGAGGGCTGGAGCACCTGTCCTATGAGGACAGGCTGAGAGAGTTGGGCTTGTTCAGCCTGGAGAAGAGAAGGCTGCGGGGAAACCTGATTGCAGCCTTTCAGTACTTAAAGGGAGCCTATAGGAAAGATGGGGACAATCTGTTTAGTAGAGACAGCAGTGACAGGACAAGGGGTAATGGTTTTAAACTAAAACAGGGTAGGTTTAGGCTGGATATAAGGAAGAAATTCTTTACAATGAGGGTGGTGAAACACTGGAACGGGTTGCCCAGAGAGGTAGTGGAGGCCCCATCCCTGGAAACATTCAAGACCAGGTTGGACAGGGCTCTGAGCAACCTGATCTAGTTAGTGGTGTCCCTGCTCGCTGCGGGGGGGGTTGGACTAGATGACCTCTAGGGGTCCCTTCCAACCCAAAACTTTCTATGATTCTGTGATTCTATGAATAAGGTGTAATTACAACAGAGCAAATGACCACATGGAAGGACTCGAATAAGTTATTTGCCAGAAGTCATGTAATAAAGCAGTTGCAGAGTTATGGAGCTACATTTGACTGCTGATGCTTCTCGTTTACAGCCACAGTAATCCTCTTGTGGCTCTAAAACCTGACGCATACTAAATTGATGATTTCCAATGATTTTGTATCATTGACCTGAAGTCTCACACATGATCCCTCTCACTTTCTGAGGTGCTTAACAGTCTTACGTATATAAATGATTCATCTCCCACATTCTGTTTTCATATTCTTGTTCTTTAATAATTTCTCAAGTTTTTAAAAGCAATATTTTATCACAGAGAAGAAAAGTTCTTCATTATTTGTAAGAGATAAAAAATATTTCAAAGTAAGTAGTTACTTATTTGGACTTCCTGTAGTCATTAAGGTATAGAATTTGAAATTAATTAAAGTATTATTAGGCTAATTTATACAATATTATTGTATTTTGTTAGTAATAGGTCCAAATTTTGACCAAAAGAAGGGACAAAGCTGAATTAAATTGGCATTTAACCATCTCCAGAATTTGTTTGTCTTTTCCAAGGTAATGAAAAGCACAGAAACAGTTCTTTTTGGTAAAGTTTATTATTTTCTTACTGTTTTGGTTTCGGCTGCC